TATTATAAACTATAAACCCACCTATATAGTTCTGGTACCCCTTCCTCCTCCCTTTTTAAGGACATGAATTTCAAGTATAACTGGGTAAACTGAGCTAGGCGTAGTTACCTGAAATTTGTCTTTCCGACCCAGAAATACTGAAAGTATTATAAAGTTAACACTAGTCCTCATAATAAGATTTTATATGCTACCGACTTCTCTTATTATTTTAATATTTCAAGTTAGAAATAATTGTACTCAAGTTGTTTGTAAATAATTTACTTTCTAATAATTTATTATAAAATAATTTAAAGACTTTACTAACTTCATAATTATTATAACCATTCTACAGAATTTTATCATTTAACAATTCTATGTTATATACAAGAATTCTAGAAAATTTCCAGGTTATTTTGAGGTTTCTGTACAAATCTGGGTTGGTTTTGTTAACTACAAACCAATATTTTTCACAATACAGCACAGTCTTGATAAGATCCTTTATTTAACAAGGTATAACATTTTTTTCAGGATTTGAAGGATAAAGTGTGGAAAGCAGGTATGTGATAATATATATTCATAACTAGCAGATATGTGAATATATATATATATATATTCATAACTAGGCTTAGTACAACGTATTTACATAATGTTTCTGTTATACAGTGTGGGACTCTCAAGTAAACTGATTTCTCTGCAAGTATTAGATAGGTATAATAATAAAACAACACAATATCGTGTATAGTAACTAGTTAAAAATCACAGTAAACGGAACAAACTGCTAGAAGACAACATGTGGTTTTTCATTAGATAATTATAACATAATTAACATCTTTAAAAAAATCTGCATATTTTACCATGTTAGACGATATTGTAGAAATTTTTATAATTATTCTTCAAAATAGTTTTAGAAGTAAATAATAAAAGGTTTTGTGATGTTACGAAACTGAAAGATATCTCTGCAAAATTGAGTATTATGGAGGGAGTGAAGCCTAGTATTGTTTGTAATTGTATTAGTTTTATGTTGGATTAGTTTGTTTATGTGTTAATATCCAACACTTTGTGTTCATTGAATGCATAAGTGCAATTTAAATGCAACCAGTAAAGAGCACCGTAATAAACTTGTGCTATTCAGCAGTTCAAATTTTGTTAATTTTGATTGAATGTCAAACGGTACAGCTCATGCTTACTGCAGAAGTTTTACAAGTCTAATGGATGTATTTCTTTAGAATCATTCAGACATACAACATTATTGAAAACAAAGTTGTTTTTAGAATATGGAGGTGTTGTACAAAGCTCAGAATGCATCCATGTGATTTGATGTCATGCACAAGTCATAATTGCAGTTGTCATAGTAACTGAACAACATCCATGATTGAATGAGAGTTGAATCATTTGTTGTAAAGTGTATCTATTTTTGTTCATTATAGACAGCAAAAATATTCAATTTTTGACCACAAACCCACACCTTTAAGAGTTTTTATTTCACTAATATCAATCATAAAGTTCAACTTGTGTATCTGTGAAACATTTGATATAAATCATCAAGTTCAACTTGTGTATCTGTGAAACATTTGATATAAATCAAGTTCAACTTGTGTATCTATGAAACATTTGATATAAATCATCAAGTTCAACTTGTGTTATCTGTGAAACATTTGATATAAATCATCAAGTTCAACTTG